GGGGGGGGGGGGGGGGTGATGGTGTGGACTGGAAGTGGGAGTATTTTGGGGTGGTGGAAAAATCACTGCCACGCCCGTTGGTGCACAAGATTTTATTGAGGTGGAATAAAAAAGGAAAAAGGAGAAAATTCATTGGCGGACACTCAACTGTGGTTGTATTGATTTTTGGGTTGAAACGCGTACACACACGCGACATACAAAGGTCAAAGGGTCGTCAGACACCTTTAATTAGAGATGAGATGATTTAAGGAGGGGTTTAATGTGATTTTTCCGGAGAAATCATTGAGAGATATCGAAGAAGGTAGAGGATTATATTGCAAAAAATATAGTAATTGGCGAAGTACCTATAAATGCGGGGAGGGAGATTTTTTCTTTCTTTTAACTTTCTGAGGTAGATGGTTAAGAAAATAGTCCAAGAATTCAGGCAGCCATTGTTTTTGGTTTGGAATAAGGCAACTACATTTAATGATTCATGGAACATCGTGGGGAATGATAAGCGGGTTTATGGGAGGATACGATGCGATGGTTTTTTCTCCATTCTTCACAGGATTTTTGGGTGTCGAGGAGAATTTACGCAATTTTTCAATTTGCTCGAGTTTCGAGTTCTCTCAGTGTTTTCATAACCGGAAGTATCTAATAGATGATCACTTTCATCACTCAGTCCAACGATTTTTCAATACATCGACCGTAACAAATTCTTCAACGAACATCACCCGTCGATATGTTTTTCAATGATTCCTATTCTTCTTCAACGACAAATGATTATAGAAATGATTTAGTGTGTGTCTCGTAAAATATTCCATGAAGGTTCAAATTTATCCATTTGTCAGATAAGTTCCCAACGTACAAGATAAGCAAAACTACTCATGAATTTCCCTTGGAAAAAAATAATTCTTTGATTTGTATCGAAGAATATTGTATTGAAGTGGTCAATGCTCACGAGATACCATTATTTCGAGGAAAAATTAACGGGAGCTCTTCTTTCGTCAAATATATCCTCCTATCTGCAAGAGAGATCCTCTGAAATTTCGCTCGGAAATGAAGCTGTCACATTCGACCAATTACATTTTAATACCTCTGCAATTCATTCTTTAGTTCTTTGTCAACAATGGAAAATTATGAGAAATATCAATTAGTAGACTCTCGAAGCACTAAATAAATGGTTCATTTAATGAATGAATCTAATGTTTTTTTAATGTGCAACAATGAGAACAATCACCTAAAGATTTTTGGGAAGTAAACAATCGCTTTATTATCAGATATTGAATTTTCTTTCCTGCAACTGAAAAGGAATAATCGGCATCTGTTCATCAGTCGACCCCCTTCTCGCTCTTGAAAACCCCAATTCCATCAATAAATTCTTGAATTTCATCCTAGTACACTTACAAGAAATTGTTAACATGAGACAAAAAGTGTTGACAAGAGACTCTTCAGCAGCTCTTTAATGGAAATGGGAACACGGATGGAGATTGTCTCTACAAGATTCTCAATCCGTGAAAAGCCCTCAAACTATCGACACAAAATTTCTGCATGATAGAATTCTCAAGTCCCTGATCATGCGAGAATACAATTGAATAGCCATAAGTACAGAATATCCTCCGTGACGCATTGGAATTCTCAGGGCCTCCACAGTGGACTATGTTTAGGTAGACTCTCCGATAACGGCCGAAAATTTTCCGAGACCGGCAAGTATCGATTTTCGAGAGTATTAGCCAGAGCCATCGCAGTCTCTCTCTCTCTCTCTCTCTCTCTCTCTCTCTCTCTCTCTCACTCTCTCTCTTTCTTCTGCACCAAACCTCCACAGGGTTGGAATTTATTGTAAGTTTGCTTATTCTCCTGTCTCAGGTAGTCGAAAAAATCGAATCATCAAAAAAAAAAGTTGACAAATAAAAATTGATTGAGGTGACGGTAATTTTTATATTTGAATATATGATAAGAATGTGGAGAGCATCATATATATTGTATTTTTTTTATAAACGGAAAAAATTATCTTGTTTTAGCACTTGATCACCCCCTTTTTCAGGCTATGAGTTGACTGATAAATTTTACATTGACTTCAATTATTCACTTTGTTTCTAAAAACGAATATCTGGAATGAAGAATAAATTGGAGAATTCGTTAAGAAATTGGCACGTTCATCCGTATTATTGAATTTAGTTTCATGAATTTTTTACAATCGCTTAATAACTCTCAAGTGATTAAAAATAATCTACATTGAAGTCCTAAAACAGAAAACAGTCGGATCAGGCATTCTCATGAATGTTTCGATCAGCTCAGGAACAAGAGAATTTGTTGTTAAAAAAAACGGTCTTATGTTATTGTAATTTTCTTGAAACCACTCATTTTGAAAATAATTCTGCAAAACAATGGAAGGAGATGGACCACTTTACACGATACGTCTCTCCACTTGAATACCGAGATAATATTGCTGTGATGTCATGTAATTCCTATAAAATTGAGCGAACAATGTAAACGAAAACAAGTGTTTTTCGAATTAATGCAAAATTAATACCGTCACCTTAATAAAATGAAGACAACTGGAAGTCCTGAAGTAGTTGTGTGTTTTTGCAGGCGCTGGCGTCAAGATGGAGCACTTTCAGACCACCCTGGACCCCAGGAAGCAGGAGTTACTGGAGGCCCGGTTTCTTGGAGCGAGGGTGAGCGGTTTCATCCCATATTTAACCCCCCCCCCCCCCCCCCCNTTTCTCCCAAAAAAAAATCTGCAATCTTTTCTTCTACAAAGTATTTCATATTTTAAGAAAGCGAATTGACATTGTCTTGAAAATTTCAAATTATTCACTGTTGACATTGAAGAATTTCACTGTCCTCTTAGGGATAACTGGAAGCATGCTCCCATGGGAGAAAATGAGTCCCCAAATTCCGATCTGGCGAAAATGTCGGTCTGTTGTAGTATTGGTTTCGAGTGTTGGTAGTTCTCTCCAGTTTTAGTTAGTTGTTTGAGCAATGTCTATGTGTTTTTTTTTTGCATCGAGAGATGATACAAGGCGGGGTTCGTAACGAGGTCGTCACAGAGTAGCTCCCTCGAGCGGATCGGCTTCTTCCGGCCGATCTCACTGGCAAGATCGTCATCGTGTGATGAAAAATCACTCGAAAAATTTCTAAACTGTTTGGAAAACATTTCTGAATATCTATAGAAGGGTCTGTGGTGAAAAAGAGAGAGGGACTGCTATGATAAAAATGTAAAAAAAAAACGACAGACCAGTAGATTTGACTTCATCAAATGTTATCATTTCCTTTCTATAAATGAAAGATAAATTGTGCTCTCTTATTCAATGACTTTCTCCAGCTGAGAATTTTCATGACAAAATTGCGAGTTCACGGTGGTAAAGTATTCTATTTAATTAAATTAATTTCTGATGAAAAAAAAACTAAATTATAGAACAATAATTCTCACCGTAAACTTTCCGGCCAAAAGTCCCAAAAATTATTCGAATAGTTTCTATCATTACCCTCTCCTAAAATTCGGATTGTGCCGAGACGAAGAAAAACTTAGTTGTCCATACCCAATGTTTGCATTCTGTACTCATCGTTAATTATTCAATAGGCAATCAGTATCCGACGGTTTCGATTGAATGAATAGTAATCGCACCCAAACATAATTAACAGATATGAATAATTTGGGAACAAAATTAATGCACAATGACTAATGGTAAACTGATAATAGTGGGTAGGTAACAAAAGGAAGTTTATACAAATTACTTTGACAATATCTGTAAATTTAACAGTATAGATTGGTAAAAGAATCTCAAGAGACTTTTCTTACTGGCCATTCAATTTTCAAAAAAAAAATCTCGTCGCCTGCAAAATTACCCTACAACTGTTTGTTCCCATTGTTTAACGACTCATTGCATTTTTGATAAGATGAGATTTGTTTCTTTGGAGAGCATACTTCTCCCTCACCTTGAATCTAGCCGAGGCTCAATGAATGAATTCACTCTTGATTTATGAATATTTTTGGAAAGTATGAAAGTGTCCATTTTTTCCTTTTTTTCTCCTACTTGCAAAATCTACAAATTCCGGGGGATAAGAAAATAGCGAAAAACCAACAAATTAAATTTGTTGATTCTTTTGCATGTAATTTTAGAAGCGATCAGTCTAGGCCAAATTATCAGAAAAATTCTTCAAACCATTAAACAAAGTGGATTTTTTCTAAACGGGAATTCACTTTTCTACAAATTATAGAAACTTCAAAAATAATTGGTTTGAAGTAATTCAACATCAGATCTTCGGCAGGATATCCCTATGGATCTTTTTCCTCAAATCTCCGAGTTGTCAGCATTTTTAGAAAATTATTGGACCCATTTCTTAATCTTGTCCAATCGGTCAGGGAAATTTACTGAAAAAACCTGTTATCGTAAGAAAACAAGTGGGAAATTGCTCTTGTATTGCATATAGTATAGTTATTTTTGCAAATAAATTAGCAATATACTTCCGACTGGCTATTTTGCCCATTTCTTTTCAACTAATTTTTTCAGATTTTCAACTTATTTGAATGTTATCATCATCATTATTCTTATTATCCTTTCTATACAACCCATTGTTTTTTTGCGGGCTTATCTCTCCCCTCAGTCATTCTATAAAATGTTGATAGAAAAAGGTTATTTATACATACTTGATTGAATTTGAAACATTACATTTGAAGAAAGCATCAGAGAGCTCACTTTCAAGGAAATTCATGAAAAATTCTAAATTTCCAACAATCATCATAAAAATCAAATCAACCAATATAGCTATCGTAATCATCTTTTAATTTCGTCGCAATGACATGAAGACAAATATTTTAAGCTATGACTGAATTCATTTGAAACNTTTCTATACAACCCATTGTTTTTTTGCGGGCTTATCTCTCCCCTCAGTCATTCTATAAAATGTTGATAGAAAAAGGTTATTTATACATACTTGATTGAATTTGAAACATTACATTTGAAGAAAGCATCAGAGAGCTCACTTTCAAGGAAATTCATGAAAAATTCTAAATTTCCAACAATCATCATAAAAATCAAATCAACCAATATAGCTATCGTAATCATCTTTTAATTTCGTCGCAATGACATGAAGACAAATATTTTAAGCTATGACTGAATTCATTTGAAACATGATTCAGAGATATCCCCGGAATTATGATTTTCAGAAAACACAAACTTTGAACTTCGATGAATCTTCGAACTCAGTCAAAAGGGCATCCAAACAAATTTTTTAAGTCATCATTCAATCAATTCAGAATTTTTTTTTAATTATCGTGGGACAAGCGATTTTTGACTAAATTTAAAAATTAAAAGAACTAATTGATGAATTAAATTTTAATTAATGTCGATGGATAGGGCTCAACAATACCTACATTTGAGAAAAAGAAATGATTCACTTCCATGGATTCATTAGCGAAGAATTGAAGGAAAACTTCCGTTTATAGACACGGTCTAAGAATTGCATTTTCGGACTTTTTGGATCACAATAGGTCGATATAACACAAAAAATCCAAAGCATAAATTTGAACGATTGTAATGTTTCCATTTGGAAGCAATAAATCGTCAACTGCAAAAAAACTCCCATAAAATTTTTTCGTTTTCGAATCCTCGGCTCCCCCGGCTGGGTGAAGCGGAAATTTTTTCTCTCTAAATTCTAATTCTCT